CCCGCCCGTGGCATATTTCCTCATGAGACCGACTCTCGCCTCGAAATGCTGTCTGCCATAATCTCCCCTCACGTCCTCGCTCATGGCATCCCACATTCGGGAGGCGTCGTCCTGGATCGTCTTCTCGGTGAAAATACTCGTTCCTGGAAGAAGGAAATTATATATTTTTTAAGATGCGTGTGTTTATTTATTTATTTGTCTATTTTTTTTAATTATGCTTGTCTTTTTTTTTTTTTTTTTTTACTTATATAATTACCTGTTTGTCTGAATATATATATTTTTTTACTTATACAATTACCTGTTTGTGTTCTGAGGAGACGTGTTGTTATCCCCGCTTTTTATCTATTTTTATTTATTCATTTATTTATGTAATTGTTTCGCTGGTTGTCATTGAGGTTACACACGAAGGGTAGATTAATCACTATATATCTTCTTTTTCAAATAAGATTTTAACAATGACTTTTTGTAATTGTACTAATAGTGTTATTAGGGGTAGTATCATTATTATTATCATTATTACCGTCATCATCATTTCCAGCATTATCATTATCATTATCATCATCATCATCATCATCATCATCACCATCATCATCATCATCATCATCATCATCATCATCATCATCATCATCATCATCATCATCATCATCATCATCATCATCATCACCATCACCATCACCATCAGCATCATCATCATCATTATTTGGATATTTACATGATATAAAAAGGCAAAGGCACCAATACAGACAATTATCAATATTGATAATTAAAAACACACATTCACATACCTATCTGCTGCCAAAAAAGTAATCGAATGGACTAATAAGCGATTCAGATTACGCTCGTCACCTATGTTGCAATGTGCAAGGATCCACTCAGCTGTGGAAGATTGCATCTACACACACACACACACACACATACACACACACACACACACACACACGCACACACACATACACACACACACACACATACACACACACACACACACACACACACACACACACACACACACACACACACACACACACACACACACACACACGTATATATATATATATATATATATATATATACATATATATATATATATATATATACATATAATTAGAGAGATACGCATTCAGAGAGAGAGGGAGAGAGAGAAAGAGAAAGAGAAAGAGACACAGAAAGAGAAAGAGACAGACACACACACACACAGAAAGACACACACATTATAATCAAACAGAAAGAGAGCCACACATTCATAGCATTCTAAGTGCCAATAATTCTAACATCAGTGAAAAAATATATATATATTACCCGATAACCCCAAACTAACCTCAATAACAAACCTCTTAAATCTATCTTTCTCTCTCTTTATTACTGTGCAACGCATTGCAACCTGACGATGTCTGAGGGAGATTAGGGAAGCGAGACGGAGGAAAGTATCTCAGCGTAACTGGGTCATGGATGATGATGCCAATAGAGGGAGAGAGAGAGAGAGAGAGAGAGAGAGAGAGAGAGAGAGAGAGAGAGAGAGAGAGAGAGAGAGAGAGAGAGAGAGAGAGAGAGAGAGAGAGAGAGAGAGAGAGAGAGAGAGAGAGAGAGAGAGAGAGAGGGAGAGAGCGGGTAAGAGGGGAAAGAGAGGGAGGGAGAGAGGGAGGGGGAGAGAGAGAGAGAGAGAGAGAGAGAGAGAGAGAGAGAGAGAGAGAGAGAGAGAGAGAGAGAGAGAGAGAGAGAGAGAGAGAGAGAGAGAGAGAGAGAGAGAGAGGCGAGGGTGGGATAGATGGATAGATAGATAGATAGAGAATCGTACACATATCGTATTTTGTTCTTGCGTTCAAGAAAAAGCATTATTTCTTGAATTTCCCTAAAGTCACCGAAGAAAAAAGAGGGAAAATAGAATCAACAATAACAAAATAACAATAATAATAATGATAATAATAATAATAATAATAATAATAATAATAATAATAATGACGATGATGATAACAATAATTAAATAAAAATTTAACATCATACCAAAAAGGCGAGGTGAATTTAACTACCACATCCCGTTTTCTATGTCAGTTTCGACAGGGCATGGGCCATTTTCAATAGAAATTCTAAATTAAACAAGACATCTCACTAATTCGGGATCGACGAACATCCTGCCTCAAAAATCTCAATTTACTTCCCTATTTCCTCAATAAGTCCGAAGTTTTGTTTTATTGATTTATTTACTTATTCTTTCAAATCATTTTGATTTTCATCTTCTCTCTCTTAAACTTTCTTCCAGACAGCTCATTTTATAGTAATAAAAAAAACTTTCAATCATCTCTTTAAGTTTATTTTATCTATTTATCTATTTGTTATTTCAAGTCATTCTTCCATTTTCATCTTCTCTCTCTTAAACCTTTCTCGATCAAACTTTATGATATATGAAATTGCTATCTAATCTATCTATTTCTTCCTCACAAGAAATTCACTTATACATTTTTACTTCAGTCACTCCTTTCCTCCTTTCACCTAACAATTTTCA